TTAACACATATATATAAATAATAACCATTATTTTACACACATATATTAATACTAACCATTATTTTACATATATAATAACCATTATTTAACACATATATTAATACTAACCATTATTTAACACATATATAAATAATAACTATTATTTAACATGTATATAACAACTATGATTTAAGGCTATACGGGGGATCTTTGTTTTTTGTTGTTGTTGGTGTTGTTTGACCACGGTGAGTGGTGCACGAGGTGCCACAGTCACTCCGGGAAGGACGCCCTGTGACTGATTGGGGGTGACTGTAGACATGAACCAGCCATGGCATTACGCGTGCAGTTGAACACGCGTGATTAAGCACTCACATGCGCCTGTTAAGTAAATGTTGACAGACGTTATGAGCAAGAAAACAGTGCGCAAGCATGCGTCTATTATTATTATTATTATAAATTAATGTTGTGCAAGAATAAGCTGACGTCAGTCCACTCAGACGATTATTAAAGGTATCGGCCACCTGTCGTCGAGCTCGTTATTTAGGTCGGAATAGTGACGCGCACGTGCGCGCGCCTGCACACGTGCGTGGGGAGCGGTGGCGCAGCGGTTAGCGCGCCACGCTACGAACCCAGCGACCCGAGTCTGATTAGCGCTTACGGCCACCAGTGACTATTATCTGACCCGGTCCTGGGCCCCCCTTAGGTCGACTCGGCCTCAAATGAGTACCTGGTGTAGTGTGTAAACAACGCCACCGGCATTCACAGGTGCCACTCGCTAACACAACTGGAAGGCGATAGAGGATTGTGTGTGAGTGCCTCGATGCGGGGAGCGGTGGTGTAGTGGTTAGCGCACTGCCCTGCACTACCAAACCGGCGACCCTAAGTTCGATTACCGTCCACGGCCAACATCAGTGGCTCGTGATATCTGAACCGGTCCTGGGTCTCCTCTATGTCGACTCAGCCTTAAGAATGTACTGAGAGAGCCGTGTAATCCATCGGCGCCGGGGAGACGAGGCCGGGGCCTCAACAGGCGCTCGCGACGCCGCCCTCGGGTCGCCAGTCCGCGCGCAGCTCCGTGGAGCTCGCGACGCCGCCCGGCCCCGAGATCGCCCCCCCCCCCCGGGGTGCCCCCCCCCCCCCCCCGAGCTGTGGGATCGGATGTCTCGAATCGTTGGAGTTGGAGTGTGTCGGTGTGAGTGTGTCGGTGTGAGTGTGTCGGTGTGAGTGTGTCGGTGTGAGTGTGTCGGTGTGAGTCTGTCTGTGTGAGTGTGTCTGTGTGAGTCTGCGTGACGCAAGAGGCTCTGCGTTCGGTGCGGCGCCTTGCGACCTCCGGCTGAGAGGCGCTCTCGAAGTAGAAATCATGATCATCATCAGTGTGTGTGTGTGCTACACAGAGTGTGTGTGTGTGTGTGCTCCACAGAGTGTGTGCGTGTGTGCTCTACAGAGTGTGTGTGTGTGCTACACAGAGTGTGTGTGTGTGTGCTCCACAGAGTGTGTGTGTGTGTGCTACACAGAGTGTGTGTGTGTGCTCTATAGAGTGTGTGTGTGTGCTACACAGAGTGTGTGTGTGTGTGCTACACAGAGTGTGTGTGTGTGTGCTACAGAGTGTGTGTGTGTGTGCTCCACAGAGTGTGTGTGTGTGTGCTACACAGAGTGTGTGTGTGTGTGTGCTCCACATAGTGTGTGTGTGTGTGTGCTCCACAGAGTGTATGTGTGTGTGCTCCACAAAGTGTGTGTGTGTGCTCCACAGAGTGTGTGTGTGTGCTCCACAGAGTGTGTGTGTGCTCCACAGAGTGTGTGTGTGTGCTCCACAGAGTGTGTGTGTGTGTGCTACACAGAGTGTGTGTGTGTGTGCTCCACAGAGTGTGTGTGTGTGCTCCACAGAGTGTGTGTGTGTGCTACACAGAGTGTGTGTGTGTGCTCTACAGAGTGTGTGTGTGTGCTCTACAGAGTGTGTGTGTGTGTGTGCTCCACAGAGTGTGTGTGTGTGTGTGTGCTCTACAGAGTGTGTGTGCTCTACAGAGTGTGTGTGTGTGCTCTACAGAGTGTGTGTGTGCTCTACAGAGTGTGTGTGTGCTCTACAGAGTGTGTGTGTGTGCTCTACAGAGTGTGTGTGTGTGCTCTACAGAGTGTGTGTGTGTGTGTGCTCTACAGAGTGTGTGTGTGTGTGCTCTACAGAGTGTGTGTGTGTGCTCCACAGAGTGTGTGTGTGTGCTCCACAGAGTGTGTGTGTGTGTGCTACACAGAGTGTGTGTGTGCTCCACAGAGTGTGTGTGTGTGCTCCACAGAGTGTGTGTGTGTGCTACACAGAGTGTGTGTGTGTGCTCTACAGAGTGTGTGTGTGTGCTCTACAGAGTGTGTGTGTGTGTGCTCTACAGAGTGTGTGTGTGCTCTGCAGAGTGTGTGTGCTCTACAGAGTGTGTGTGTGTGCTCTACAGAGTGTGTGTGTGCTCTACAGAGTGTGTGTGTGCTCTACAGAGTGTGTGTGTGTGCTCTACAGAGTGTGTGTGTGTGCTCTACAGAGTGTGTGTGTGTGTGTGTGTGCTCTACAGAGTGTGTGTGTGTGTGCTCTACAGAGTGTGTGTGTGTGCTCTATGGAGTGTGTGTGTGTGCTCCACAGAGTGTGTGTGTGTGCTCTACAGAGTGTGTGTGTGCTCTACAGAGTGTGTGTGTGTGTGCTACACAGAGTGTGTGTGTGCTCCACAGAGTGTGTGTGTGTGCTCTACAGAGTGTGTGTGTGCTCTATAGAGTGTGTGTGTGTGTGCTACACAGAGTGTGTGTGTGCTCTACAGAGTGTGTGTGCTCTACAGAGTGTGTGTGTGTGCTCTACAGAGTGTGTGTGTGTGTGTGCTCCACAGAGTGTGTGTGTGTGCTCTACAGAGTGTGTGTGTGTGCTCCACAGAGTGTGTGTGCTCCGTCGCCTGGTGTGTGCGGTTGCTTTCCCTTCGGGGATTCTCGGCACGTAACGCACGCGGCCAGCAACAATCAGCGCGAGCAATGGCTGTAATAGCCCAGAGCGTAACGCGGGGTGCATGGTGTTAAGTATCGATAATAATTATCGCCGCAGCTATTTACCCATTCAATTAGCACTCTGCTGAATGTGTTCCCGGAGTCGTGGTTGCGAGTACGGTATTTGACATGATTCTGACTCTGCGTTGGCAGGGCAAGGCAGTATTGATTCAGCTAATGCTTGTTACGTCATTATCGCACGATGCTACTGCTGTTTTGGCAGTGAAACACAAACAGCAACAACAACAACAACAACGTAACGCCTCTCTGTTCAACAACAGAACACCGTGCAGTGGCTATGAATAAGGGCCATTGCCCGAAACGTCGACTGTTGTCTTCCCCTGAAGGCCGCACGTAGTTGCGATGTAACGGATGTTCAGTCAACCCTCGCGAGACGCCGCATGAGACGCCGTAGTCGTCGATGCGTTCCTCAACAGTGAGAACGCGTTCAGCGAGAACGCGTAAAGCGAGGCGTTGCCGGGCACTCTGAGCAGGTGCCCCCCCGTGCAGGTGCACTGCGCATGCGCACTGAGCAGGTGCACCTGCGCAGGTGCACTGAGCAGGTGCACTGCGCATGCGCACTGGGCACCGCGCCTGCTGTCGCTGGTGTCGCTGCGCTCGCCCTGTTGGGGCTCGGGGTGACCGGGTCGAGGCAGTACAGCAAATCGCACAAATGATACAACGGCAAAACATTGACCAATCGAGTACAAGCACGATGTGAAGCGGCACCCGATATCGCGATAATCGTCTCATCGTGACGTCACATCGCGATATCCGTGCTGGTCTCCCGTGCACAGCCCGGCAGTGCCGGTGGTGGCAATTCCACATTCCTATGGTGAGGGCGGCGAGTCGATACATAGGACAACAACCACTCTTGATCTGCCCCACAAAGTGGTTCTTGTGTACACACACACACACGCGTGTATACACACACACGCGTGTACACACACACACACACGTGTACACACACACACACACGTGTACACACACACACTCTTGTACACACACACGTGTACACAAAGATCCCCCGTATAGCCTTAACAGACTCTAGGGGCAAGTGCTGTTAGCGAGCACCTATGAAGGTCGAAACGTCACACGAGAAGGTGGGTAGCCAGCAGCACGCCCAGCCGCCTTTGTCTCCCCAGTGGCGATGTTTACACATCGCACCGGGTACTTATTTGAGGCTGAGGCTAAGTCGACCTAGGGGAGGCCCAGAACCGGTTCAGATAATCGTCACTGGTGTTGGCCGTGAGTGGAAATGGAACCTGGGTCACCGGGTTCATAGCGCAGTGTAGCGCTAACCGCTACACCACCGCACACACACACACATGCACACACACACACACATGCACACACACGCGCACACGCACACACACGCACACACACATGCACACACACGCACACACACACACATGCACACACACGCGCACACACACGCGCACACACACACACATGCACACACACACACATGCACACACACACGCACACACACGCGCACACTAATGCCCTAAGCGATGTGCGGGGTCGCCCTTGTCACGACGCGAGATTTTCTCGTCTTGCCCCCCCTCCCCCCGGCCCCCTGATCCCCCCCCCCCCCCCCCGTGTTTATTTGACTTCGCGTTCGCGCCTCACGAGGTCGGATCAACACGGCGCTCCGTGTCCGTGTGTGAGTGTGTATGTTGAGTACCTGGTGAGGTGTATAAACATCGCCACTGGGGAGACAAATGCGGTCGGGCGTGCTGCTGGCCACCCACCCCCTCGTGTGCCGTTCCGGCCTAAATAGGTGCTCGCTAACAGCACTTGCCTCAGCAGTCTGTTAAGGCTACACGGGGGATCTTTGTCTTTTGGAGCGGTAGTGCAGCGGTTAGCGCCCCTCGCTACGAGCCCGGCGACCCAAATTCGATTCCCACTCCCAGTCAACACCGGTGGTGATTATCTGAACCGGTCCTCGGTTTCCCCTAGGTCGACTCAACCTCAAATGTCTCTCCCCCCCCCCGCGCGCTTGTGCCCAGTGACCCCCTGCGTGCTAGCGGACCCCGTCTCCGCCAGCCTCGCGAAGCCCCCCGCGGCGGGGGGGGAGCGGAGTCCCTGCGCCGAGTCGGGGGTGGGGGCGCACGAGCCGGCCACCGCCGCCACCCTCGGCACGACCGCCACCAACAACAACAACAACGCCACCAACAACAACAACGCCGCCGCCACTGCGGCGGCCACCGCCACCTCGTCGTCCTCCTCCTCGTCATCCGCCTCGTCGCTGGGAGCGCGGCCGCGTCAGCGCCGCAAGCCGCGGGTGCTCTTCTCGCAGGCGCAGGTGTTCGAGCTGGAGCGGCGCTTCAAGCAGCAGCGCTACCTCTCGGCGCCCGAGCGCGAGCACCTCGCCTCACTCCTCAAGCTCACCTCCACGCAGGTGAGCGGGGGGGGGGGGGGAGATTTACCTCCATGCAGGTGAGCGGGGAGGGGGGAGGGATTCACCTCCACGCAGGTGAGCGGGGGGGGGGATTCACCTCCACGCAGGTGAGCGGGGGGGGGGAGGGATTCAGCTCCCCGCAGGTGAGCGGGGGGGGGTAGGGATTCACCTCCACGCAGGTGAGCGGGGGGGGGTAGGGATTCACCTCCACGCAGGTGAGCGGGGGGGGTAGGGATTCAGCTCCACGCAGGTGAGCGGGGGGGGGGTAGGGATTCACCTCCACGCAGGTGAGCGGGGGGGGTAGGGATTCAGCTCCACGCAGGTGAGCGGGGGGGGGGGGATTCACCTCCACGCAGGTGAGCGGGGCAAGGGGCGGGGTCAAATCAGGAAGGGGTGGGGCCTATAGAGGAAGGGTCGGGGCCTGTAGAAGTTCAACTTGGGTGTTGAGTTGAGGTCATAGCAGCATAGAATGGGAACGTGCCGCGGATGCAGCCACAGGAGTCCTGAGCGGTCCCCGTTCACGATCGCGTCACCTCTCCACACACGGTGGTCGTACAATCCCCTTGGTCATCCAATTAACCCACTCAGCCACCCACTGACCCACCCACTCAGCCACCCACTCACCCACCCACTCAGCCACCCACTCAGCCACCCACTCACTCACCCACCCACTCACCCACCCACTCACCCACCCACCCACTCACCCACCCACTCAGCCACCCGTGTATGTTTTCCCGCCCCCCTCCAGGTGAAGATTTGGTTTCAGAATCGACGCTACAAGTGCAAGCGCCAGAGGCAGGACCGCAGCCTGGAGCTGCACCAGTGCGGCCCGTTGCCCCCGCGCCGCGTGGCCGTGCCTGTGCTCGTGAGGGACGGGAGGCCCTGCCTGCCCGCGGGGGGGTCCCAGCACGGGGGGGCGGCCGCGGCGGCGGCGGCCGCGGCGGCCGCGGCGGCGGCGGCGGCCGCGGCGTACAACGCGACCTCCGTGTCGTCCCCCCCCTACGGGGCCTACCACAGCTCCTACGGCGGCTTCTCCTGCGGGGGCTTCTCCCCGGGGCCGGCCCCCCACCACGGGGGGTACGGGGGGGCCGGGGTCGCGGCGGCCTACGGGACCCCCTCCGCCATGAACACGGCCGCGTTCATGAACGTGAATCTGCAGAGCCTCATGAACGGCGGCGGGGGGGCGGCCGCGGGGGTCGCCGGGGCCACGGGGATGGTCGGAGGGGTGGGGGGGGTGGGGGGCATGGGGGCGGGCGGAGGGGGGGCGGCGGTGGGGGCTCAATCCCCCGGGCTGCAGGGCGCCCTGCACGGAATCCGCGCGTGGTGACGGTGACGATGATGGGAGCGGTGAATGAAGAACGAACTCGAGATCGATCGAGCGGACGGACGGTCTTTGCGGACCAACTTGCGGCGCAGGGGGGCGCTGACGTCATCTCCACGCTCGATCCGCTGCTGGCTGAAGCGCAGGAACCCAACTCGTGGAACCCGTGGTGTGCCGTCGATGAGTTTGGCGCGCGCGGTGAGCGGGAGGCGAGGTGGTGAGCGGGAGACAAGGTGGTGAGTGGGTGGTGAGCGGGTGGTGAGCGGGAGGCGAGGTGGTGAGTGGGTGGTGAGCGGGAGGCGAGGTGGTGAGCGGGTGGTGAGCGGGAGGCGAGGTGGTGAGCGGGTGGTGAGGTGGTGAGCGGGTGGTGAGGTGGTGAGCGAGTCCCCTGGGGACTGCACCCATCTACTCACAACGGCACCTGTGCTGTTGTTGTTGCTGTGTTGTTATAATTATTATATTAATATTGTTTGTTGTTGCTGTTGTTATTATATGATGGCGACATACACAGTCGCTATCATTTTATATATGCATTATATATACACAGTATATAAGCGCGTGTGGGTGTGTGTAGCCTTGACAGCAGGGCGGCTCCTGTGTTGTCCGTGTCGCCCGCTGTGGGGGGTGGAGGGGCGGGCTCGCGTAGTCCACCTCACGACCTTTGGGCGGGCTCGCGTAGTCCACCTCACGACCTTTGGGCGGGGGGGGGGGGGCGTGGGGTGCATCGTATCAGAATGTATCAGTTATCTTTATTTTAAAAATTAACAAACTCTCTTCCTGTTTATGTCGTGAATTCAATCAAAGCATGCAAGAGTGGTGGCGATGTTACTGGAGGTGATGTTGGTGCTGGCGATGTTGGTGATGGTGGTGGTGATGTTGGTGGTGGTGGTGATGGTGGTGGTGATGTTGGTGGTGGTGGTGATGTTGGTGGTGGTGATGTTGGTGGTATTTTCTGTCCGTCTGCTACAGCAGAGGTGTAGGGCATTACAACAAGACCTACATCTCTGCTTTATTGACCTGGTCAAGGCCTACGATACCATCAGTAGACCTGGGCTCTGGGTTGTTCTTCGTGCTTTCAGAGTCACTGACCCTCTGCTCACAATCATTAAAGACCTTCATGATGGTGAGCGGGCCCGGGTAAAACTACGTGGCCGGGAGTCAGAGCCATTCCCTGTACACCTTGGGGTGCGACAGGGTTGTCCTCTGGCTCCCACATTATTTAGCATCGATTTTGACCACGTATTTCGTGAAGCCTTCAATAGCTGTACCGGGGGAATTTCCATTTGGTACAGATATAATAGGAGGCTGATAGATGCCCGGGTGCGATCAAGGGATGGCTCCCTATTGGTCAACCACGTCATGTATGCCGATGATTTGGTAATAGCTGCTCATTCAGAGGAGGAGTTGGAGACACTGCTGCTGAGACTGGAGCGTGCCACTAAGAGGTGAGGCCTTACCATCAGCCCCACCAAAACTAAGCACCTGTCTGGGTATTTTGTACCAACGGACACTCCACCCCCACAACTCCAAATCGGTGATGGGGCAGTTGTGGAGAGAGTGGAGAGTTTACCATACCTGGGCAGTGTGCTTATGACCGGCTCCGGTTTGACAGCAGAGGTCTCACTCCGAATCAGTCGAGCGGCAATATATTTTCATCGGTTGCATAACGCTGTGTGGAAGCTACCTGGTCTGTCGCTCCGCACGAAGCTTCAGGTCTTCTCGGCCACAGTCATTCCCTCCCTTCTCTACGCTTGCGAAATGTGGACCCCCCCTAATGGAGCATCGTCGCCGGTTAGAAACATTTAGGCTGTCCTGCCTACGATCCATCCTGGGTTTAACCAGGTTGGATTGTGTGAGGAGCTTACAAATCCTTGAAAGATCTGGGCAAAGTCCATTCGGTGAGCTCCTCCGGCAGGCAAGGCTGCGTTGGCTGGGTCATGTAGACCGCATGCCCAGCCACCGCATGCCTAAACAACTTTTGTTCGGCCGGATCGAGGGGGCTAAACGGGCGCGGCACGGGCTAGAGAAGAGATGGAGTGATGTGGTACAGGAGGACGTGGAGCTGAGTGGACTTGCCGATGACTGGTACCAGCGGTGTCAAGTTTGGCCTCTGTGGAGGAGGCTCGTGAAGGGCGCTACTGGGCAGTTGGAGGCAGTCGCCCTCCAACAACAACGGAGGGCGGAAGAGCGATGCTCACAAGAACGAGCGGAGCGCCGGGTGGCTAAAGCACAGCAAGTTGGCACAGTAGGGGGTACATGTGGTGCATCAGCCAGTCATCTCGGTCATCTCAGTCAGTCGACCCGTGGCACCTGGGTCTGCCCCGTGACCTCCTGCCAGCGGGCGTTCGACACTTCACGTGGCTTCAAGGTGCACATGGACTGGCACAAGCCTCGTGGTGACGTCACCGCCACTTAGTGGCGAATGGCGGTTGTTGTTGATGTTGGTGGTGATGAGACGCTCTTTGCGCCACCTCAGCCCTCTTGACTCTGCCGAGCAGCAGCAACAACCCTGGCGAGCCACGGAGCAGAGTCACTCCCATCAATCTTCCTCCACCAGCCCCACCACAACCCCACCAGCCCCACCACAACCCTACCAGCCCCACCACAACCCCACCAGCCCCACCACAACCCTACCAGCCCCACCACAACCCCACCACAACCCCACCAGCCCCACCACAACCCCACCAGGCCCACCACAACCCCACCAGGCCCACCACAACCCCACCAGCCCCACCACAACCCCACCAGCCCCACCACAACCCTACCAGCCCCACCACAACCCCACCACAACCCCACCAGCCCCACCACAACCCCACCAGGCCCACCACAACCCCACCAGCCCCACCACAACCCCACCAGCCCCACCACAACCCCACCACAACCCCACCAGCCCCACCACAACCCCACCAGCCTCACCACAATCCCACCAGCCCCACCACAACCCCACCAGCCCCACCACAACCCTACCAGGCCCCACCACAGCCTCACCACAACCCCACTAGCCCCACCACAACCCCACCAGCCCCACCACAATCCCACCAGCCCCACCACAACCCCACCAGCCCCACCACAACCCCACCAGCCCCACCACAACCCTACCAGCCTCACCAAAACCCTACCAGGCCCCACCACAGCCCCACCACAACCCCACCAGCCCCACCACAACCCCACCAGCCCCACCACAACCCCATCAGCCCCACCACAACCCCACCAGCCCCACCACCACCCTACCAAACCCCACCACAACCCCACCACAACCTCACCAGCCCACACCACAACCCCACCAGCCCCACCAGCCCCACCACAACCCCACCAGCCCCACCACAACCCCACCAGCCCCTCCACAACCCTATCAGCCCCCACCACAACCCCACCAAGCCCCACCACAACCTCACCACAACCTCACCAGCTCACACCACAACCCCACCACAACCCCACCAGCCCCACCAGGCCCCACCACAACCCCACCAGCCCCCACCACAACCCCACCACAACCCCACCAGCCCCACCAGGCCCCACCACAGCCCCTCCACAACAACCCCTCCAGGTTTGTTCACGCGGGCCTCTATTCAGCAGTGGGTAGAGAATGTGTGATGTGTGGGTGTGTACTCAGTGTGGTGTGTGTACTGTGTGTGTTGTGTACTCTGTGTGTGTAGTGTGTGTACTGTGTGTGTACTGTGTGTGTGTTGTTTGCACTGTGTGTAGTGTGTGTAATGTGTGTGTACTGTGTGTGTGTTGTTTGTACTGTGTGGTGTGCCCTGTGTACTTTGTGTGTGTACTCTGTGGTGTGTAGTCTGTGTGTCCTGTGTGTGTGTTGTGTACTTTGTGTGTGTACTCTGTGGTGTGTACTCTGTGGTGTGTACTCTGTGGTGTGTAGTCGATGTGTCTCCTGTGTGTGTGTTGTGTAGTCTGTGTGTGTACTGTGTGTGGTGTGTGCTATATTTGTGTACTGTGCATGTGAACACAAAAGACAAAGATTCCCCATGTAGCCCACATAGGCTGTTTTGGGCAAGCACAGTGAACGAACAGCGGCAGCGACCTTCTCAATGCGAGTACTATTAAATACCCATCACTACCATCATCATCACCATCATCACCATCATCACTATCACCATCACCATCATCACCATCATCACTATCACCATCATCACTATCACCATCATCATCACCACCATCATCACTGTCACCATCATCACTACCATCATCATCACCACCATCATCATCACTATCACCATCATCACTATCACCATCATCACTATCCCCATCATCACCATCATCACTACCATCATCATCACTACCATCATCACCCCCATCATCACCCCCATCATCACTACCATTATCATCACCATCATCATCACCACCAAAGGTCCCCGTGTAGCATTCACAGACTGTCGGGGCAAGTGCTGTTAGCGAGCAGCTATTCAGGCCGGCACGGCACACGAAGCATCGGGGTAGGAGGCTGGGTGTGGGCTGGGTGTGGGCTGGGTGTGCACAGGACTACACCCAGCCGTCTTTGTCTCTCCCCCGTGCTCACCACCATCACCACCATCACGACGATGACGATGGTGCTGATGGCGATAGACGAGAGGCGGTGACGCGGCCTCCTCGCTCACCGGGGAGCGGCGCCGCCTTTGAAGCGCGCCCCGAGCCTCGCGTAAATCACCGCGGCCGGGGCGGATGTCATTAATTACTGGGGGGGGCGAGGGGGGGCTCCTTCACTCACAACGCAATAATTATCAGGGTCGTTAAAATCAGGGGTTAGAGGATTTTTTAAAACAGTTTTTGCGTTACCAGTAACCGCATGGAAAAACCGGTTCGCGGCTCAAGTCGAAATGTCTGTGGGCGCGCTGACGACGACCGGGTTGGTGGCGCGGCGAGGCAGGCGGCGATCGCGGAGTGTCCGCCGCCTCCACTCGACCTCCCGGCGCGGCAGGCGAAGCGGCGACCCTCGTGCGAGTTTCCCTTCGCGACTCGCGCCCGAGGGGCACGCGCGGTGGGGTCACGTGTGGGGTCACGTGTGGGGGGCACGCGCGGTGGGGTCACGTGTGGGGGGCACGCGCGGTGGGGTCACGTGTGGGGTCACGTGTGGGGGGCACGCGCGGTGGGGTCACGTGTGGGGGGCACGCGCGGTGGGGTCACGTGTGGGGGGCACGCGCCTACGCGCGATGGGGTCACGTGTGGGGGCACGTGCCTCCACGCGGCTTCTTTGCGTGGAGTAGCA